CAGGAGGTGGTTCCATTTTCCAGGAGGTGGGACCGGCCATTGCAGCGCAGGGCTGAAAAAAGGGAACAGCAGCTCTTTCCACCAGGAAAAAAAAGTCTGGAAGCTTTAGCTTTGAGGTGCATTTGTTGCGGCAGTGTAGGCACTTCCCGGGCAGGAAGGCCTTTCTGTGGTGGCATCTTTTTCTAGCAAGAATCTTCATTTAGAGTAAATATTTCAGGAGGTGGGATCGGTCATTGCAGCGCAGGGCTGAAAAAAGGGAACAGCAGCTCTTTTTAGAAGGAAACAAAATCTGGAAGCTTTGGCTTCAGGTGTAGTTGTTGGGGTAGCCTGGGCACTTCTTGGGCAGCAAGACCTTTCTGTAATGGCATCTTTTGTCTGGCAGGAATCTTCATTTAGAGTAAATATTTCAGGAGGTGGACCGGTCATTGCAGCGCAGGGCAGAAAAAAGGAATAGCAGCTCTTTTTAGCAGGAAAAAAACTCAGGAAGCTTTGGCTTCAGGTGTAGTTGGTGTAGCCTGACTACTTCTTGGGCAGCAAGAGTTTTCTGTGGTGGCACCTTTTGTCTGACAGGAATCTTCATTTGGATTCAATTCTCCAGGAGGTGGGACCGGCCATTGCAGTGCACGGCAGAAAAAAGGGAACAGCAGCACTTTCTACCAGGAAAAAAAGTCTGGAAGCTTTGGTTTGAGGTGCAGTTTTGGGACAGCCTGGGCACTTCTTGAGCAGGAAGAGTTCTCTGTGGTGGCACCTTTAGTCTGGCAGGAATCTTCACTTAGAGTAAATTTTCCAGCAGGTGGGACAAGGCATTGCAGCGCAGGGCTGAAAAAAGGGAACAGCAGCTCTTTCTACAGGGAAAAAAAGTCTGGAAGCTTTGGCTTCAGGTGCAGTTGTTGGGGCAGCCTGGGCACTATTTGGGCAGGAAGAGTTTTGTCTGATGGCACCTTTTGTGTGGAAGGAACCTTCATTTGGATTCAATTCTCCAGGAGGTGGGACAAGGCATTGCAGAGCAGGGCAGAAAATAAGGGAACAGCAGGTCTTTTCTACCAGTATAAGAAGTCTGGAAGCTTTGGCTTCAGATGTAGTTGTTGGGGCAACCTGGGCACTTCTTGGGCAGCAAGAGCTTTCTGTGGTCGCACCTTTTGTCTTACAGGAACCTTCAGCTGGATTCTATTTTTCAGAAGGTAGGATCGGCCATTGCAGAGCAGGGCAGAAAAAAGGGAACAGCAGCTCTTTCCACCACGAAAAGAAGTCTGGAAACTTTAGCTTTGAGGTGCAGTTGTTGGTGCAGCCTGGGAACTTCTTGGGCAGCAAGACTTTTCTGTTGTGGCACATTTGTCTGCAAGAATCTTCATTTGGATTCAGTTTTCCAGGAGGTGGGACCGGCCATTGCAGCGCAAGCCTGAAAAAAGGGAACAGTAGCTCTTTCCACCAGAAAAAAAAAGTCTGGAAGATTTGGCTTTGAGGTGCAATTGTTCGGACAGCCTGGGCACTTCTTGAGCAGGAAGACCTTTCTGTGGTGGCACCTTTTGTCTGGCAGGAATCTTCAGCTGGATTCTATTTTTCAGGACGTGGGATCGGCCATTGCAGCGCAGGGCTGAAGAAAGGGAACAGCAGCTCTTTCCACCAGGAAAAAAAGTCTGGATCCTTTGGCTTTGAGGTGCAGTTGTTGGGACAGCCTGGGCACTTTTTGGGGAGCAAAGA